AAAAAAAAAAAGAACTAGATCTAAGTTCATCGAGACTGAACAAAAAGGCATTGTCAAAGCAGCAGCAGACCTAACATTGACTGAGTGCTCACGACCTATCAGGCAGTGAGCTAGGTGCTGTACGAATGTCACCCATTTAAACCTCATAACAAGCCTTCAAGGTAGGTATTTTTTATTAGAGCTGGGAAAGTTGTGTACACGCACATACATATACACGAATACCAATACTTTAGTTTTGCGAAAATGGGACAATGTTATGCCTACTGTTCTGCAACTTGCTTCTTTCATTCTTACTGTATTGTGAACATCTTTCCATGACTGCACATGCCGAACAGTTAACACCTGCAGAGTTTTGAATTACATGAAGTCATCCCAATGAAGCAATCCCTGAAGAATTTTTGTATTATTACAGACAATGCTACAGTGAGCATTAAAAAATCATTTTTGTATATTTGTGTGAGTAGTTCTGTAGCACAAATTTCGGGGAAGTAGAAACAGGAGGTTGCATAAGGTTGTACATTATGTTGCACACCTTAAACTGATACAGTGCTATATGTCAATTACATTTTAATAAGGCTAGAAAAAAGGCAAAGTCTTAACTTCAATCCAGCTTTAAAAAAGAAACAGTAAGGGGCACCTGGGTGGCTCAGTTGGTTAAGCGTCCGGCTTCCACTCAGGTCTCGATCTCACAGCTTGTGAGTTCGAGCCCCACGTTGGGTTCTGTGCTGACAGCTCAGAGCCTGGAGCCTGCTTTCAATGCTGGGTCTCCCTCTCTCTCTGCCCCTCCCCTGCTTGCTCTCTGTCTCTGTCTCCCTCTCAAAAATAATAAGAATTAAAACATTTTTTTAAAAAAAGGAACAGTAAACTAAAAATTTGTGTATGTTCTGTACAATCTGGAAAACAGAAAATGAACTGTATTTGAATGTTTCTTCTATCTGCACAAGGTCTTTTCAAACCTAAATCCAAATACAAAGTGAGGAGCAGGACATCTGTTTCTCAGAGCTGGTTTTAGATTCTTGGTCTGTCACTAAACAGCTATGAAACTGGGAACTACAAAGGAAGTATATTGTTACTATTATTATTTTTTAAAACATAGCATGTTATATGAGTTTCAGGTGTCCAACCTAGTGATTCAACAGTTCTATACATTATGCCATGCTTACCACATAAATGGAGTCACCATCTGACATCATGCAATGTTATTGCAATGTTATTGACTATATTCCCCATGCTGGATTTTTCATTCCCTGTTTTATAACTGGAGGGTTGTACCTCTTAATCTCCTTCACCTACTTTGCCTGTCCCCCCCATCACCTCCACTCTGCAGCCACCATTTTGTTCGCTGTATGTATGAGTCTGCTTCTGTTTTGTTTGTTTGTATTAAACGTTCGGGGCCTTGACGTCTTCCTGCACAAAAATGACAGCATAGTGAGATATAGTTTCTGAAGCCTCCTTTTGCTCGAACGTTCCCGGATTCGATTAGTCCTTTCGCTGCCTTTGTCTTCCTACTTATGAAAAAAGATTTGACGTTTTTGGCCTTGTAGGATCAATTAGTTAATGCGCCAATCAGTTACGACCTTTCAAACGTAGAAGTGCTACGTTGTTGCCTTATTACTTGTAGAGAAAACAGACCTTTGCTGTATGCGACCTAAAACCGCTTCAACTTCTAGAATAGTTTCTGGGTATTTAAGAAAACCAGATGATTATTGAAGCCAAGGGGCCACCCTGCCTCAGCATTTTGGACCATGGGTGGGTGTGATGAATAGGGGGAGGTGTTTGGGAAGGCTGATATGGTATCACGTCTCTCGGGAATCTTGCCTTCCTGGAATGAGCCTTTCCAACTGTATGTTCCCTAACAAAGAAGGGATTGTGCGGACCATGACCTCAGAGAACACACAGTGCATTTCAGATGAGGGACTTAACAATCTCTGTGGTGTGTGGGACAACGTCTGAGCTAACAAGGCCTTACATTTTCTCTGCGTTCCACAGTCATTATCCCCCTGGACCCTCTCAGCATCACTGATGAATAGCCGGAGAGGTGATAGTTTTCCCTGCCGTTAAGGGGTAGGTACGGAAAATCAGAGAGGTGTGCTGATGTGTGTTATCTCACACGGCGGTGAGAGGGAGAGGCAGGGCCCCAGCAGAGTCTAGGGCCCACCCTTGCTCCTCAGCAGTGGGTCCTGGCATGTGACTCTCCAGTTCGTTGGTGTTGACCCTTTTTAATGGCTGGACTCCTCTTCAGGGTCTTCTCCAGTCTAGACTCACCCAGTCGACAAGGTACAACACCTTTGTATTTTAAGGGGCACGTACAGGCGACAGCATGGAATTTCTCTGAATTTGGGATCCGGCCGACGGTGAGTTTTATTTTCTAAAACACAAGTAAGAAGGAAATGAAGTGAGGAAAGATTTTCCTTCGTTGTTTGCTCGTGGTCTGTCCTCATTAGCACCCTTGGAAACTGGTTTGGAAGAAAATCCTACAATGAACCATAACATCTGGGCCAGAGGAAGCCAGGGTGACCTGCATACTTAGGTGGAAGATGGATTTTTATTCCCTGGCAGCCACTGGCCTGAGCCTTTAGGGAAGATTCCAGAGAACACCGATGATCCCAGATGGGCCCAGTTGTACCAGGAAGTAAAAGCCTCTTGAAACTAGAGGATCCAGATGAAACCAGACAAAACCAACCCCTGACAAGATCAGGGGGAAATTGAAGTTTGATGGGTTTGCCCTGTAATCTAGCATCTCCTTCTTCTTCTTTTTTTACACACACCTCTTCTCCCCTCCTTTCAAACTCTCACATTGTCCCTACCCCGTCCCCAAGCCGACCTCCTTGTCTCTCAACTGTAGCCCAACAGGAGGGAAAGTAAATCTGATTGGTCTGAATGCTCTAGAACAAATGGCCTGCCCCTCCTGTGGTTCCACATCTCCCCTCTTCCAACATTCTCTTCCCTTCCGGGGACCAGCTATTTGAATTTTTTTGAAGAATTGGACATTCATTTTAATATAAACAATAGTCAGGAATGGTGGGGTGGGAAAGTAGAACTTTTTGTCTTCCAGATAACCATTTGGGTGAGCACCTCGTGTTTCTCCATAGCATCTAATTGTTCTCCAGTAGGAAGGGGCAGGCCGACTCAGCCCAGGAGAAATGCTATTGTCCCCTCCCACATACACGATTCCACTGTCCAGAAAGGCAGTCTTGATATACTGCAGCCAACGTTGCCCAGGTGAAACTCCTGGGTCCAGGTAAAAATCCTTTTTTGGCTTTGGAGCTGATGCCTGGATCTTGGAGGTCAGAGTATCTTTTGGTAACTTCTGGAAGGATTCGGAAGACTGTATAGGGCACGTGGCCTCAGGGTGGGTTTTTGGCAACGGAAATATATTAGAATTACCTGATTGTTGGACTGAGCCCCTGAAATCTACTTCTCTTCCACCACACAAACTCCTACCTGGTCTTCAAAACCCGAGCGAGACACTACCTTCTCTGAGACACCTTCCTAGACTTCCTCAGATAGATTTACTCCTTTCTTTCTGCTTCACTGGCCCTCTGTCCACATCCTAGGGCATACACCTTATGGTAACCAGCACACAACATGCCTGTTTGATCCATACTATGTGAGCTCCTCAAGCCTAGGCTGAGGCCATTTTTGTAGCTCTAGGACTTAGCTCAGTACTAAAGGAGATGTTCACAAATGGCGAGTGAGTGAATGAATGAGAATGAGTCCTTGTTCCATGACTACTTATGTATCTTTGGCAATTCACTCATCCTTGGCTGCTTTTCCCATAGAGGTAATGGGAATAGCATGGGGTAATTTTGTCAGGCAGGAGAGATAAGACCTATGTAATCAGAAACCCTCAGAGCTGAAAGAAATTTGAGAGATCACCTAGCACAGCAGTTTTCAGGAGTTTTTAAAAATTTAATTTTACTTATCATTAGGATTGTTTTAGAGCAGAGAGAGAGAGAAAGCGAGCGCGATTGGGAAGAGGGGCAGAGGAAGAGAGAGACAGAATCTCAAACAGGTTCCATGCCCAGTGCAGAGCCCAACATGGGGCTCGATCCCACGACCCTGGGATCATGACCTGAGCCAAAATCAAGAGGCGGGTGCCCAACCAACTGAGCCACCCAGGTACCTCAGTTTTTAGGATTTCAAGACAAGGAAATGTTTCTTCAAGGAGAGCTAACAGAGCCAACATCCAAAAAACATAAATGATAAACGTAGATTGCTCTCATTGAAGTCTTACATATTGTCCCCTTCTTTACCTCTTCCTCAAGTTCCTGTCGCTTAGGGACCCAAGAAGCACAGTTTGAAAACCAACTATCTTCCTGTAGAGAGAAAAAGCTGAAGCCAAGAGAAGAACGTGATTTTCCCAAGGTCACGTAAGAAATAAACACAGGCCAGGGAGGGAATTTACCACAGGGAGACTATACGCACAGGCAGAACCACGGCTAGCCCTTTAAAAACATACATAGTTTGTACACGCTCGCATGTTTTGTTTACTTCTTACAATAACTCAGTGAGGAAGGTACAGCTAGGTCAATTTCGGAGATGAGGGGACTGAAGTGTGTAAAGCTGAACCTGGCCAATGTTCCCCAGCCAATCGGAGAAGTAAAAGCACAGATAACTCTGTGAGTACCTACTAGGTGCCAGTCACGTGTGTAAGCATGTTACACATATTATCACATTTAATTCTCCAACAACTTGTATCATCCTTACCCCCAATTTTGCAGAAGAGAGAGATGAGGCACAAATTGACTTAAGGTGATGCAACGCAAATCCTGAGCCAATGCGATTCCGTTGTAAACTCTTTCTACCACATCATGCTGTGTATCTGAGGTCCTGGACCCCGATGCTCAGTCTCTTAATCCGGAGCCCTCTCCAAATATCACTTTATATGAAAGAATTTTGAAAGGGTTCTACAGTCACAGTCTGTTATTTGCATGTATTTACATGAACCGTTCAGGCTCCACCCAAGACCTTGATCTTATTCTTGGCCAGAGCTGGTCAGCAGGACTCACCTCCTTCTGGACAGACCGACTGAGAAACAAGGAAGCCTCCTCCAGGCCCTGGGGCATCAGGTCATTCACAGCCAAGATGTGATCTCCGTGAAAAAATAAACATCCCAGGTGCGGGGGGCCTTGCCACTGAGCCACACTGCAATGGAACACAGTGTTCAACACGAGTGTGAGATTGTGCTCGCAGGACACAGACTGGGGTTCCCTCATTACCATCACCAGCTTCTTCAGCTATGTTACACCCCGTCTGAAGTAGACAAACTGCATTTTCTGCTTGAATATTCTTTCGTCTGTCACCGCTGTTGGACCTGCCCTCCAACACCAACTCTAATCATACCACCTCTAATGGTCCTCCTACATTCCTCTTCCTTTAATTAATCCCCCCATCCCTGACTTCTATTGCACTAGGCGAGCACCCATTTATTGTATATTTAAGTACAGTGCATTTTATGTTTGCTTGTTTATGTGGCTGGTTTTTTTTTTTCACCAGGCTATGAGACCCCAGAAGTAGAGTGCTACCTTCAAAAAAAAAAATTTTTTTTAGACCCATATAACTCCAAGTAAACAGAAGGAGTTTAATAAGTGCTTATTGAAAGTGAGCACATGATGATTACACAGTGACTATCTAGTGGCTCTCTAGTGAGCCTCTTAGATGGTGGGAAATTTGGAAAAGTGGAAGAGTTGTTTACTGCCCTCTTATAGAACGAATAAGCCTTTTACGTTAAAGGACTTTCTCCCCTTGTGAAAATGTAATCTTCCTTCAGAATAAACTATGAAGTTTTTAAAAGAATTTAGAATCAAATTAAACGGTGCTGATTTTAGGAAGATTCTCTCTTTTGTGTCTATCCCAGACCAACAGGCGTCTCGAAGCCTCAGACCTTGGTGTGACCATTTGTTTTAGACCTTAGATTCTTGTTGACTTCACTAACTTCATTACTTCATCCGTTTATCAAACAGTCATTGCTCATTGATTGGGAATGATTTCCTTGGACCATACCTATTCCTTCCGGCTCTTCTTTACCTTCCAAAAATCAGAAATGGGTACTGGACTTTTGGGTACTCCACTACCAACCCACTTCCCAGCTGATCCTCTTACACAGCAATACCTTCATTTTTGCCTCAACCAAAGATCTTTTGTGAGAACAATTCAACAGTCCAAGCTGTCTGATCGGTTTTGCCACATACAGTTTCAGGATATAATCGTTGTCTGCCTATCTCCCAACCCCATTTATAATCAAGAACCCTCAAATCTCCAACCTACCATATCCGTCCTGCAGCTTCCATGAGACTAAGATAATTTATGACGTCAGAAGGAGAAAGGAACACATTCAGTTTCTCCACTTGGCTTTCATCAGGGATGTTACTACGAGATAAGATGTTTATAAAAGTCACCTCAGGCAGCTCTGAGCTGGACATTCCGAGTAGACTTTACTTCCTACCTCTAGGATGGTATTTCCCAGTTAAAAATTGTCCAAGACATTGGGAGAATATGAATTTAAGTTACTCATTAATGCCCTCCCGCACCCCTCTTGGGATGTGCTAATGGATGGCAGACAATGGGAAAAGAACAAAAAATGGACTAAACTGATTATATGTCACACCAGTCTGCTTATTTCTCCACTGTAAATGATTCCATAGAAGAATATACTGGAAAGACTTAAAACTGAGAACAATTTCATCAAATGCCCTTGACATCACTTAAAACCTAAATCTTCCCCTCTTATTCTATAACCAAACCTCATGCAACTTGCCCATAATTTTAACCATAGACGTTGGGTGACATGCTACCCAGGTCAGCGTGATCCAGAGTTCCAGGGCCCGAAAGACTAGCCAAGGGATAATTTTTAGAAATATTTGGAAATGCTACCCACAGCCCAGGGGACTGCTTTGCTTCCAGCTCTGTTACTCACTGTCCTTGGCCACCACATCGGTAAGAAAGGGAAGCTAGTCGGATTGTTGGCCAACTTGAAGATTTTTAGGAACCATTTAAACTTGAATTCTGAGTTAAAAAGGAAGGCTGCATTGCTCTAAGGGCGCATAGTTTTAGAAAATAGAACTTTACTTGATTAGTATAGATAATTGCACAACAGTAAGTGAGGCCAACCCCTTTTTGTCATTCATGGTCTGTGCTTCCATATTGGCAGGTGGAAGACAAGAGTCACTTTGTGAGCCTTGTTCTTGCAAGTGAAGCCCCCCGTTCTGGATCTCTGGAAGGGCCTGGGATCCCTCTTTGCTATCAGCAGACTTGTGGGATGTCTCTCTGAAAAAACTAGAAAATCAGAGGTTAATACAATACCCTTTGTCACCATGTTTATTTACAACTTTCTTTGGTGGGTGAATTGGATTTCAGTAGCTAGGAGCCATGTGAAAACTAACAAGGTCTTCAAGTATGCCCAGCCCTCAGAATCACAGCCACAGTTAGAATCAAATCCAACAAACTTCCCTTCTGAAAATGGATATGGAGTCAAAATAACCCTTTCCATTGGAAGGGCTTGAAGGACAGAAGTGAGGATGAGACATCAATTCAGAATAGAAAATAAGTTCCCCAGGAGACAGAAAATGACCCGAGGGGGTCACTACATGGGTAGTGAAAGCATTTCGGTGGGTTGAGAAAGCATTCTCACTTCTTTTTTTGAGATTGCGGAATAATGTGTTGAATTTGGTCTCTGGTGATGTTTTTGAATGACTATATCAACAGTGGTTGTTCTATAAGAGTACATTAGCCGGAATCAATTTTAAGAACATGACAGTTTTACATACCAGGATTTCATTGGCATGTAATGATGTTCATTTGTCTCCGAGAACTGTTCTGGACTATCAGGTTCAGCAGGTTGACCAGGATCATTGGAAGCAATAAGACTATCCAACTACAGACAAGAGGGATAAGTGTAAGGATGCAAGTCTACCAATAACCGGGTACCTTTTTATCCCTTACGTGGTGGCTCTGGGCCCTCAACGGGTCAGTACATCCACCGCCGGATGAGCAATGGTGCTCATGCTAGGAGGCTGAACTGCGAAAGCTTCTGACTGACTCAAAGTCTGTTTTCTCCTCCTGGATTCCCCGTGTTTCCGATACGGTGTTTTATTGGACTAAATTGCTATTTATCTTTCCGTTTCATCACTAGGCAACTTAATGATATGCACTCTTTCTCCCGACTGGTGCTGCTGTAGAGACGTGTCACCCGGCTGGGTCAAAGCTGGCCTCAGGCCACCGTGCTCACAGGCGAGCCAACTTGCGTCAAGGGGCTGCGGAAGTCCTAGAAAAGACATTGCCCTTGGGAGGCTCTCGGCTAGCCCCTCACTACTAAGGCATTTGGGGGACTGGTTGCTCAAAAACCCTCAGGGCTTTTAAGCGCCTGCCTGGCAGTTGAATCATTAACCCGTATTTGGAAAAATTCCTTCCAGCCAAGCCGGCCTTCCCGCTGCTCACCTACAAATGGTGCTCTTCCAGAGCCAGCTTTCAGGCCACTTGCGTCACCTGGAGCCCCCCCTTTCCTCTCTGGCCCGATGAAGCTGTGTTTGGGCCTTATGAGGTCCCGCAGCCCCCTCCGACCACCTCAGCCAACACCAATCTCCTCCTTCTCTGAACTGTCACTGCATAGTTTTGTACTTACTTTTGGCGGGGGGAGTATTTTTTTAATGGCCTTTTCTTTCTGTCTGGAAATCACCTCCCCGCTTCCCTTCCCTCATGCACTCCAGGCATTTATCAGCATCTCTCTTCAGCACAGAGCCCTTTCTGTCTTGTATCGCGGCCTCCTTCTTTTCAAGGGTCAGCACCATGAGCACATCACCTGTGCCTGATTCACCACCGAGCCCAGCCTCCTGCCCCAGGAACAGCACGCAGCAGGGACCCGGCAAATATCCGTACAAGGAAGGAAGGATTAGTGGATGGAAGGGGTTACCTGTAAAAGAATACTTTGAGGACTAATATAATGACTCTCTTCTTCCGTCTCTTCAGTAGTCTCTGACAAGAAATCATGTGGCAGATGAGCTTGTCTGAGTCCTGGAGAATTGTTTTCCATTAAATGCTGAATAAAGAGAGGAAGACAATTAATTCTATTCTCTCTCTCTCTCTCTCTCTTTTTTTTTTTTTTGCAAGAGACAGAATTAAACCACATGCTTTCTGGGAAGCCATATTAGATGAATTAAGTTGAGAAGATCGGAACATTTCCCAAGGTTACATGCAGAAGTCCACACAACTTGAACTCGCCTCTTGAGTCTGGGTCACCTTGATGAGGTAAAAACACAAGCCCATAATTCAGGCTGTTCTCTACCATTGGGACCTGTAACTTAGAACAAGCAGTTCTCTCAGGGGCGGGCGGTGGGGGAGGGTATATTCTAAGGCACTAAGGACTGCCACTGAGTCCCCCCACTCCCATATACTAGTTTTCCCCCCGGGGCCACCTGAGAAGATAATCAGCCCACGGTCAGGGCACCACACCTTTCCTCTTCCTGCTCAATATTCCTCTTTTGTGTTCTGCTCACACACTTCTATTGTTTCCAGAGCAATGCAATTTGCTAGTGTTGGTCATGTGATCATATGAATTACAGTCTACAAGGTAATGTAGGTTTAAGCAACCACCACCTTCCCTCCCCAGTGGATACAAGATCCTCCCTCTACTAAAGCAGCTGCTTTGCATGGCAGGAAAATTGTTACAAGTACAACTTAATTCTTCCAAGAACAATGCCTGTGAGCAAGGGTTTTGAAAAGAACTTGAAAGTTTTCTAGGAAGTCCTTGAAGGGAAGTGATTTCAAAAAACAAAATGTTTTCAATGGTGTCCATTCTTCTAGTGCCAAGATAGTGAAGCCAGACCGTGCTGAGCTGGGGGTGAAGAACGGTTCCCACAACAACGACAAGGACAACCATCATCACCACCACAAAACCCAACAAGGTAGATGGTACTCTTAACTGGAGCTGACTGAAAAATCTCCGAATTCGAATGCAAAGTGTGAAAACGTGGCAAGACGATCAGTAACGTTATCTTTCGAAAAGCAGGGGGTAAGAAAGATTTTAACATAGTTGGAGAGCTCCCAACTAGATAAAACAGCAGGTTATGCTATATTAAGATGTGCTTGGCACCCAGGGAGAAGGGAAAGTCAATGGTTACGTCTCTAACGGACGAAATGGTATCCACGGCAGGAGATAAAAAAAACAACCCAACCGCTCGGTCCGTTAATCCAAAGTTGGGAAGACCGAATCCAAGAGAGCTGAGAGCACAATCACAAATCACTTTCAAGAGCCAGATGTGTTGTTTTCCTCAAATGGGTTTCATTAGAAATGAAGTCACACACACACACACACACACACACACACACGCGCGCGCACACACACACACACTTAAGAGGAAGCAAGATCGATCTGGGTAAATGAAAAAGATGAATGAGAACCTTGGTTTTACCCCAGAAATAGAGACGGTATGGCAGACCGAGTGGTGTGTTGGGAATCTTTTTTACAGAGGTAATCCGCACCCTTTGTGTGAAAGGAAGGAAAAGGTTGCCAGTCAGGCTTCTGTTTAGCTGGAGGGTTCTCTGCCCAACATACCCAGATGCATGGTGAGGCACACCCAAAATGAATGAATACATTTCAAGGTAGGCAGGGCAAGCAGGAAGGCTCATTTGTGATATAAGAAACAGACTAAATATAGGATAAACACTAAGGCTAAGATCATGATGGTGGGTTAGGCTTAGAGGAAGCTGTCAAATACATGGGTAATACTTTGGAAGCATCAGCAGACTCCCAGGCAAGGCGTCGAGAGAGAGACAGACAGACAGACAGACAGACAGATGGAAGTCTGATTACCATGTCTGGAAGACTATTTCTTGATGGGGTGGGGCTGACAGCCTCTGATGCGCTGGAAGGACCAAGGAGAGGACTGGGGTCTGAAGAAGGCCTTTTACCACCCAGGGGGAATTTCTCCTGCTTATGGAAGAGGAATATTGCAATCAGGGCACAATCCATGTCTTACCTGGACCGAAGCAACAGCCTCGTCGCTGGGCTTCCCGCCTTCACTCTTTTCCGCTAACATTTATCCCCCCAGCCAGCCTTCTCGCACCAAGATACAAGGTGATCATAGCTCTCTCCTGTTTCCAAGCCCTTGAGGACTCTCAGCCTGGGCTTCCGATGTCCTGAATTTCCCTCAACCTGTCTTTTTGACCCTGTGCCACTATTTTCTGGTCATTTGGGTCTACCATAGACACACCTCGCTTTCCTTCCTCCACGGCCTCTGCCCTTGCTGTGGGCACAGAACAACTTGGAGAAAACATGTCAAAATGATACCTATACACTGAGTTTCATTTATAAAGGTCTACCCTCATAAAGGACTTGTGTGAATCAGCGAAGGTTCTCGGGAAGTAAATTAAAAACCTAAAGCTACTAGCCCTTACGTTAAAGAGAGATTCCACTGAAAACGCAAGAGATATGAAGAGCCTTTGTACAGACACCAGCCTAGACTTACTCACTGAAAAAGGCAGCTGTTATGCACCTTGAATAACAATGATGGGAACTGCTGTAGTCTTAGCTACGCTTAAAAAAGTGCATTTCACTCCTCCGACCCCATAATGAAAATTTGAAGGGTCTGCATTTCAGGTCTCTTGCAAAACACGGAAGTGTTTTTTCCTATTGTTCATCACAAAAATAACAAGGATGTACATTTTCTCACTTATTTTTTCCTTGTATTAGTGCCAGTTGCTCAGGAGGAAAAGCAAAAGCTACCATTGTTTCCTTGTGACAGAGGCTGTGTTCAGGTGCCCTGTTATTTTATCGGCAATGTAGAGTCACCTCTGTGTTCTGGCGTGCTGCTTTGGCGTCCCAGCAAAATGATAACATGAAGGAGACCCAGTCTTTAATCTTCTCCCTGTTGATAGGAATAAACTTTTCAGTTGGCGTGTGGCAACAATAGCACCTGTGCTCCTTTTGAACCAGAAAAAGGTTCTTTTATTAAGGTTGGAACAGGCAGTGGGAGCAGGTACCAGGGAAATAAAGATTTTTCCCGAAGTAGCTTCAATGACCCACTGGCTCCTCACCACCTCCACACTTGCACACTAGAATTAATCTTCCTGCCGCCTCTGCGAGGAAAGCTCAGAGAAATGGGAAGAACAGTCGAAAATAACAGTAGTGATCATAGGGTTGGGACCTTTTGGCTTTGACACTGATTTCTTTTGTGTTCATAAGCGAGCCCCTTAACCCGTCAGCACCATTTTTTTGTATAGCTACCCAGGTGTGCCTCCCTTTGGGGGATGCGTGTGTTTATGAAGCCCGTGTTTGAATGAATTTACTTTTCTATTGACTTTCATGACAATGTGAAAAAGAAGGCTGTTCGCCTTGGGCTTAATCTGCAGCAGATCAAGGCCCTTCATACTTCGGTGTGAGCGTTCTGTGCCTCCTCTGCCCAGCTTCCTCCCCTGGCCTTGGCCTCTCTGTCAAGCAGCCAATCATCTACAAAGGATCCGTTAGGCACCTTTGCTTGCACTGGGAGCCCCCCTTAAAAACCGAAGACTTCTTCAGGGATGAACATGGCCCCTCCCTAACATGTAGCTTGTACAGATGTTTGTGTATTGGGTTCTCTTATGTGAAAAGCAACTGGGGTGATGGGGATGGGGGTGTGGGTTGACTTGCGTCCCCTCAAAATTCATCTGTTGAAGTGTCGATCCCCAGTACCTCAGAATGTGACCTTATCTGGAAATTGGGTTGGGTTATTGTAGATGTCATTGGTGAAGATGAGGTTATACTGGCCTCCTAATTCATTATGACAAGCGTCCTTATAAAAAGTTTGGATGCAGAGACACGCTCACAGGGAGAATGCTGTGTGAACGTTGTAGTTCTGCTGTTGCAAGCCAAGGAAATACCAGAGGCCAGGAGAAAGGCCTAGAACAGACCTTCCCTAGAGCCTTCAGAAGGAACGTGGCCCTGTGACACCCTGATTTCAGATGCCTGGCCTCCAGAACGGTGAGACAATATGTATCTGTTGTTCTAAGACATTCAGTTTGTGGTACTTTGTTATAGAAGCCCTAGGGAATGAATACGGTCACTTTCTGAGCTGTTTCAACAAATAATGAACACTACCCAATAATGAACACTAATGATGGTGTTGCAGGGGGTGGCCATGGATTTCTGTTCAAAGTCTGTTTATTGGTTATTGGTTTGAGATATTTTGTCTCCTTGTCCACTTTTTATTGCGCACACAGGAAACACTGTGTTATCTTACTACTTACCTGTCATGGCCAATGAGGAAATATTCCCTGTTAGTGGTTCTGATGGACATCACCTCATCAGGGTGGCATTTGAACATCTTACATACAGATTGCATTTTTTCATGGCTACTTATGCCAACTTCTACACTGGAGTTTCTGTTAGATATAGACACAAAGTATTACACAGATTCAAGCACAATGACTACTGTTTTATATTAAGATGCAAACTGAATAAAATTTAGGTCTGCTTGATCAATGTCTTGGAAATTGTCCAATAATGTTACAAAATAAGTTTAGATCTGGCTCATTACTGATTGCAAATACTTAGTTCAGCCTCACATTTAATTCAAAAATTCTTATTTCTGTTGAATTCTTTGTTCTACAAACGATCATGTTTCCTAATTTTCATTTTGTACTGAATTTCTTAAAGAGAAGGCCAAAAAAAAAAAAAAAAAAAAAGCAAATCTCAATACTTTTTTAAAAATCCATCTTGGGTTTATGAAATGATGATTTGATCTGCTCTCCCTCATCCGTAAATTAAGCAAATCAAAGTCTTTTGTAACTAAATTCTTATTAATGAATAATTTATGAACTGGTATATACAACGTGAAATAAGTATGTGGCTGTGTTTTACTCAGGATGTTCTTCATTTCAGCTTCTTTTCAGCAACCAATATTGTAAGCATGAAGGCTTTGGTTCTTTCAGTCAATGATTTAAATTTCAATTTGCATGCCCTGTGTTAGTATTCGTTGTTATACACGTTTTCCGGACTGGATGCGCACCGGTCAATTTCAATGGAACCTCGGCGATGTTCGTCTTTGTAATAGGAGATGTGAAGTCTCCTTCCCCCACTCTTTGACAGAATGAAAAACCGCTTTTTCCAAGAAGACTGAAAAATGAAAACATTTTGCATCTTAGTTGGATCTCCAAGGAAGAGAAGGGATTTGAAAAATGCTCAGGAAGCTAGTGGGAGGCCTGTTAGATCATGGTGCATACTTACAGCAGAGAAGAAAAGCTGAGGAGGTGGTGATTTAATAAAGTAATCTTGTTTGCAGACTTCATTTTCATAATAAAATGTAAATTGTTTGCCTAATAAAAGAAAGTGAACAGACTCAGTTTGTTCCCTGTAGATTTTGGGAAAGAACTGCTTCAACTGGAAAACGCTATTTCCCTCTGGAAAGGTCTTCCAATTATTCAGTTATGGAAAAGAACTTCGATCCTAGAGCAGGAAAACAAAGAGACCAAAGGACCGAGGGCATTATTCTTATTCGACCAGAGCCAGGACTTCCCTTCAGATGACGTTTAGAAGCTCCTTAATGTCGGGTCCTCATTTCTGGGGTGCACCTCTGGCTCTCCAGATGTGAGCAAAGGTTTTTTCTATTCTTGTCAGAGCACCAGCCACAGGAGCAGAATAATTCTGCCTTGCTCCTTGGCTTAGTAAACAGAAGCAAAAACACCTGCTCTTTTTTTTTTTTTAATTTTTTTTTAACGTTTATTTATTTTTGAGACAGAGAGAGACAGAGCATGAACGGGGGAGGGGCAGACAGAGAGGGAGACACAGAACACGAAGCAGGCTCTGGGCTCTGAGCCATCAGCCCAGAGCCCGACGCGGGGCTCGAACTCACGCACCGCGAGATCGTGACCTGGCTGAAGTCGGAGGCTTAACCGACTGAGCCACCCAGGCGCCCCAAAAACACCTGCTCTTGAAAATGAGGTGGCAGGGTGGTTACATCAAAAGGTTTCCAAAATGTTAACTGCTTCTCTGCAAGGATTGAAATGTAGATGGGTTTTTTTCCCCTGTATTTTCAAAAATGTCTTCAAGAAATATGTACTACTTTCATTATTTAGAAAAATGTCATGTTATTAAAGTTTTTTTTGCTTTCACCTCCAGGCTGTAGTTCTAGTTTGCCCATGGTTTTATAAAAGACCGTCTTTACTAAAGAGTTAGAGCTTTTTAATTAAGTGAAAACAGAATCAGGATTAGGTAGCACAACTGATGAGGACATTATGCTAGAATTTAGTATTTCTTTTTTTTTTTTTAACATTTTCTTTTAAAAGTTTATTTATTTAATGGGGCGCCCGAGTGGCTCAGTCGGTTAAGCGTCTGACTCTTGGTTTCAGTTCAGGTCATGATCTCACAGCTTCGTGCGTTTGAGCCCATGATCTCACAGCTTCGTGGGTTCAAGCCCTGCGTCAGGCTCTACACTGACAGTGTGGAGCCTGCTTGGAACTCTCTCTCTCTGCCCCTCCGTGATTTGCACTGTCTCTGTCTCTCTCAAAATAAGTAAACTTAAAAGAAAAGGCTTATTTATTTAAGTAATCTCTACACCCAACGTAGGACTCAAACCCATGACCCCAGGATTAAGAGTCAGATGCTGTTCCAACTGTGCCAAAATTACTACATGAATGTAGCAATTCCTAGGCAGCTGTCCTCACTTTGCTTCCTTCCCCTCCTCTGTAGCAACTCTGCCTGCTCCCCACCCCACCCTCCATCCCTTTACATGCACACATACACACACGGAAAAGGAAAAGAAAAACAGAATGCAGCGATATTGCAAAAACAAGTTTTGGCCGGCTCCTTTTTAAAATTGTATGGCCATGGACAAAAATCACATATTTATTTACTAAACAAATATTGATAGAGCACCTAGAATCCCTAACTTTCCCTGCTTCCTTATCTGTAAAATGGAGACAATAGTACTGACCTCACAGATATGTGGGGAGGACTGAAGGAGTTAATGCATGGAAACCTCTCGGTACTGGGCCTGGCACACAGTAGGGCTGTTATCAACAGAGGAAACTTTAGCCTTTATGGTTTGCAGAATAAACCGGTCTCTCATCTGCCTCTAATACAGGTGCTCTTTGGTTGTATTAAATTTAAAAGGTTCAACAGATACAGTATTTTATTTTATTTTTTTTTTTAAATTTTTTTTTCAACGTTTATTTATTTTTGGGACAGAGAGAGACAGAGCATGAACGGGGGAGGGGCAGAGAGAGAGGGAGACACAGAATCGGAAACAGGCTCCAGGCTCTGAGCCATCAGCCCAGAGCCTGACGCGGGGCTCGAACTCCCAGACCGCGAGATCATGACCTGGCTGAAGTCGGACGCTTAACCGACTACGCCACCCAGGTGCCCCCAGATACAGTATTTTATAAAAATTTGGGCCTAGGAGTCCCTAATAACATCGTATACAATTATAAGAACCTTAAAGTAAAGTAAGTATCTATCAGTACGTAGCCCAGTTTGTCACTCCCAGGGTGTCTGTCCCCAGTATTCACATCGACTACCAGGACACAAAAACTCTGACGGTGTTCGTTGACCTTGGCAACGGTGCTGTTTTCTCCAGAACTGAAGCTGAGGAAAATAACCCAGTAAACAATGTGGCTATCTTAATCTGAGTTTACGAAGCCATCAGTACTGAAGCCATCAGTATTCAGCCAATTTACTGGTTAAGGTATGTGAAGTCCAGAAATATTATGCGTCTGCCTCACTGCCCCATTCAAGCAAACTCAGAGGGTATGGTGACAGAAAAACTCTGGCCATGGTGACATTAATTGTTAATAAGGGTACTGGGGTTTTTGTCCATAGTAGGATTCTGGGCTTAAAAGTGAGCTACTAGAGACACTTAATGATGAGGTCTTTTCATGCCACCTGGCTTCTGCTTGTATTCCCTGCCTTCATGGAGCTTCCTATCACGTGTGGAAGGTGGGTGGTAAACAAGAAACGAAAACAAGCAAGGTAAGTGTCGGTTGGGATACGTGCGTTGGAGAGCATGGCCAGGGTGATGAGACGGAATAGCCAGGCAGGGAGGCCCCTTGAGGAAGAGGAGTCAGGGGAAACCTTTATGAGGATGAGAAGGAACCAAGCGTGCAAAGAGCTGGGTAGGCAGAGGAAGTAGCATAGTCAAAGGCCCAGGGACAGGAAAGGGGAGAGATGTTCCAGGAAGTGAACAGGAGCACTGAGTGGCTGGAATATAATGAGCCAGTGAGGACTCTAAGAGTGGTCTAAGACGAGGCTAGAGACAAGTTCAGTTGGGCCTGGAAGGCCATAGGCCAATATAGTGGGTTTGATTTTAAAACCAATGGACAGGACCACCCACTAATTAGCTTTGCCAAACAACAACAACAACAACAAAAACCAGTGGGACAATCTCACCCATCCTCTAGGTCCAGTTTGTAGGAAATACAGAAAACAGAAATATGGTAAACACCATGCCAGAGATGTCTTCAGCAAAATCTAGTCTGTGGGAAACTGATGGGACAAATTTTCAGTATTTTTACCCCTGTATATGCAATTTTTGCCCCTAAACATCTTCCCCTGGATTTCCCATAAACTTCTTTCTCACATCACTCTATCCCCAGGTGCCTTTTATGAAGTGGTGTTACCAACACCTGTCCAGCCTCCCCACCTAGAACCCTCTGAATCCCCTTAACCGTCACCCTTCCATCAGTCTTATGGCCACTCAATGATTAAATCATGCTCACTTTCACTTCCCAAACACCTCTGGGATCTATCCCGATCGTTCTGTTCCCACCACTGCTGCCTTCAAGACCTTCATATGTTTCAATGTATTCATATGCATTCAAGACCTTCATAGGTTTTTCACTGTACATTGTAGTGTCCAGTTTGGCGCCCTAATTCCAGTCTTGACGTTTTCTTTTTTTTTTTTTTTTTTTCCAACGTTTATTTATTTTTGGGACAGAGAGAGACAGAGCATGAACGGGCGAGGGGCAGAGAGAGAGGGAGACACAGAATCGGAAACAGGCTCCAGGCTCTGAGCCATCAGCCCAGAGCCCGACGCGGGGCTCGAACTCACGGACCGTGAGATCGTGACCTGGTTGAAGTTGGACGCTTAACCGACTGCGCCACCCAGGCGCCCCCAGTCTTGACGTTTTCAAATCCATTCTTGACATATCCCTGAGAGTAAACACCAAATCTGACTGATTCAGTACTTGGGGCAAGGATGGAATAACAGGGACTGGGTTTACCAGACAAAATATATACAATAGTGGTTTTCAAGACCCTTGGCATGGGCAATAAAATCACTCATCCCTATGAGATGGGAAACAAACAAGGTGGGCCCTACCACTCCCTTGAGAGAGTTTCCAGGCTATAGCACAGGAAAGGGGAACTGAGGTGGAATTGGGTGAATTCCTGAGTTGAGGAGACAGAGCTAAGGCTTCGGGGGAAATTAAGGCACTAGAGTTCACAGGGACAGAGTGCCAAAGAGGAAAGAGCTGCACACGGAAAGAATCACAGAAACATGCATAAGGTTCTTAAGAATTCAAGAGTATGGAATAATTATCTTTGGGCTGAGGACTGTTCCAGATCCACCTGACAAATCATAAAAGCTAGCCTTTAAAAAAAAAAAGTTTATTTATTTATTTTTGAGAGAGAGAGGGAGGGAGAGAGAGTGTGCATGCACGAGAAGGGGAGGGGCGGAGAGAGAGAGAGGGAGACAGAGAATCCCAAGCAGGCTTCAAGCTGCCAGCGCAGAACTGGACATGGGGCTCGGACTCATGAACCGTGAGATTATGACCTGAGCTGAAATTAAGAGTCAGATGCTTAACCGACTGAGCCACCCAGGTGCCCTAAAAGCAGGTCTTAAAAGGATCAAATTGTTTCCAAAAAACTTAACTGCATCCCAGAATATAGCTCAAGACTTGTAGAAATACAAAAATAGGCAGCACCCAGCAAGGTAAAAATTTCGATGTCTGGCAACCAGTTGAAGACTACCAAATACGCAAAGAGGCAGGAAACCATGACTCATAATTAGGAACATTATCGAAATGGGCCTAGAACTGACACAGATGTTCGAATTAGCAGAGACAGTTGTAAAAACAGTTATTATTACTGTATTTAATCTATTCCAGGAGTTAGGTAGAGACACAGATGATATAAAAAAGATCTAAAGTGAACTTCAAAAGATGAAAACCATAATGTCTCAGAAACAAACACACACACACACTGAATAGGAGTAACAGCAGATTAGTGCACATGAAGACAAAGTAAGAGAAACTATCAACACAGATGCAGAGAGAAAAAAGAATAAAAAAAAAATGCTAAAAGAGCACCAATGCACAGTGGGACAATTTCTTTATCTTTTTAACTTTATTTCTTTTGAGAGAGAGAGATTGCACTCTTATGAGTGAGCGGGGGAGGGGCAGAGGGAGAGAGGAAGAGAGAGAGGGGGAGAGAGAGAGAAAATCCCAAGCAGGTTCCATGCTGTCAGTGCACAACCTGATGCGGGGCTCGATCCCACCATCTGTGAGATCACGACCTGAACCGAAATCAAGAGTCAAATGCTTAACCCACTGGGCCACGCAGGTGCCTCACTGTGGGACAATTTCAAGTGACCTACTATACAAGTAATGAAATCCCTAAGTGGTTAGGGATACAGAAAACATATTTAAAGACATAATGCTGAAAAGTGTGTAAATTTAAAGAAAACTATAAACCCAGAGATCCAAGCAGGCCAGGAACCCTAAACACAAGGTACATGAAAAAAACTCTACTAAGGCATGTTGTGATCAAATTGTTCAAGACTAGTGATAAAGAAAATAACCTTAAAATCAGCCAGAAGGAAGGAAAATATGTATGCAGAAGGAAAAAAAAAAAAAACATGCGAAAGACATTAGATTTCTCATCAGAAATAATGTGAGCAAAAAAACAGTGGAGCAAATATTTAAAGTACTGAAAGAAAAACACTGTCATTCTAGAATTCTATATGCAGCAAAAATATCTTTGACAAATAAAGGCAATTTCAGGGCACCTGGGTGGCTCCGTCAATTGAGTGTCCTACTTCAGCTCAGGTCATGATCTCACGTTCGTGGGTTTAAGTCCCACATTGGGCTCTGTGCTGACAGCTCAGAGCCTGGAGCCTGCTTCAGATTCTGTGTCTCCCTCTCTCTCTGCTCCTCCCCTGCTCACGCTGTCTTTCTTTGTCTTTCAAAAAATAAAATGTTTAAAAAAAAAAAAAAAAGGCAATTTCAAGACATTTTTCAGATAATACAAAAGCTAAAGAGATCCATAAACAGGAGGCCTATACTATAAGAAAGCTTAAAGGAAGCCCTCTGGGTGGAAAGAAATGATACCAGATGCAAATCTGAATTTATATGAATGAATGAACAACACTGAATGGTAACTGCAAAGGTAAATATACGAATTTTGTTTTTGTATTAATTAAAACATTTAAAAATTCAACCGACTGTTCAAACAAAATACTAACAACATACTGTGAAGATTATAACATATGTGTAAGTAAAATGCAATTTCATTAAGTAAAAGGCATTAAGCCCAGGAGGGAAAAATGGAAGTATACTTTTATAAAATTCTTATATTATATGTGGTTTGGTGTAATATCATTTGTAGTAAGATAGACTGTGATACGTTAAAGATGTATACTATATGCCCTAGTGTGACCACTAAAATAACAAAACAGTTACAATTAATAAGCCAAGAAAGGAGATAAATAGTATCATAAAAATACTCAATTCAAAAAACAATGAAAAAGAGGGAAAAGGTGAACAAAGAAAAAATGAGACAAATAGAAAACAATGCTATGATAGACTCAAACCCAATCACATCAATATTCACATTAAGTGTAAATGGTCTAAAAAATTCAATTAAAAGGGTGAGACTGTCAGATTGGATAAGAAAGCAAGACCCAACTGCATGGTACTCACAAGAAACACATTTTAAATATAAAGACACATGGGGTGCCTGGGTGGCTCAGTTGGTTAAATGTCTGAATCTTGATTTCGGCTCAGGTCAAGATCTCATGCTTCATGGGAGTGGACTCGAGCCCCACATCTGAGCTGTGTGCTGACAGAACAGACACTGCTTGGGATTCTCTCTATCTCTCTCTCTGTGCCCCTCCCTGCTTGTGCACTTTCTCTCTCTCTCTCTCAAAATAAATAAATAAACATTAAAAAAACGAACACAAAGACACAAATAGGTTATAAGTAAAAGGTCAGGAAAAGGATATACCATGCCAACAGCAGTCAAAGCAAAGCTGGACTGGCTATAGTAAGATCAGATTGCATAGCAAAATAGTATTACCAGGGATAAATGTCTTTTTATAATGATAAAGGGGTCAATTAACCAAAAGGACATAATAATCCTACACAATTATGTACCTAATAACAGACTTTCAACATACTTGAGGCAAAAACTGCTAGAACTGCACAGAGAAATAGAGAAATCCACAATTATAGTCAGAGATTTCAGTACCCCTCTCTCCATAACTGATAGAAAAAATAAGCAGAAAATCATAAAGATTTAGTGGACTTGAACAACACTATCAATAACAAACTTGACCTGATTGATATTTATAGAACACTCAACAACAGCACAATGCACACCTTTCTCAAGGGCACATGCAACATTTTCCAAGACAGATCATGTTCTGGGCCATAAAACCAGTCTCAATAAATCTGAAAGGATCCAAGGTTTACAAAGCATATGTTCAGAACATAATGGAATCAAACTGAAAATCAATAACAGAAAACTTTTGGGAGTGATGAAGATTATCTTGATTGTCGTAATGGTTTCCAAGGCATATACACATATAAAAACTTAACAAATTGTACATTTTAAATATGTGCAATTTATTGTATGTCATTTTTACTGTAAACAGCTATTTCAGGGGTGTCTGAATGGCTCTGTCAATTAAGCATCCGACTCCTGATTTTGGCTTAAGTCATGATCTCATGGTTCGTGAGGTCGAGCCCCAAGTTGGGCTCTGTACTGGCAGTGTGAAGCCTGCTTGGGATCATCTCTCTCCCTCTCCCTCTCCCTCTGCCCCTCCCCACCCTCCTCTCTCTCTCTCTCAAAATAAATAAACAAACAAACAAACAAGTAAATAATAAACATTAAAAGAAAAAGGCTATTTCAAAAAATAGGACCAGTCTAAAATGCAAATCTAATGATGCCATTCTCTTGTTCAAGGATTGGTGGTCTAATGAGGTCAAGGTCTGGTACAATATAGTGCCATATTTCCACAGCCTCATCCTTTACTCTCCACTGTCCTACTTTATATCCACATTGCCCGCTGATACATCCTGCCTCTAATCCACTCATTGCTTTGTTCATGCCATCCCTCTCTGCCGAGATGTGCTCTTTGCCAATCTCTCTTAAAACCCTATACAACTTTTAGGGCCCAAATGCCTTCTCATAAAACCTCTCCAGATTCCCAAAACTACTTGTATGCCCTTTCTTTTTCAGATTCCCATAATGTTTCACACTCACTTTCATGATTCCTATCATATCCCGATTGTTTGTGCTTATCTTAGCTTCTCAGCACAGTTACTCACATGTGTTTATCTTAACTTCCCAACAACATTTATAAACTCATTGAGAGCAATGACTCTATTACTTACTCTGTATATCCTCTATAATATGAAGCACAGTGACTTACTAATGATAGGTGCTTTGATCATTTGATTTCTAAATTATTTCCTCCTAAATCAGCTTTTCTAACTACCCACCTGCAATGAACTGTGTAAACATGAACAAGGACCTTTGAATAATTCACCTCGAGCTACCCCTATAATAACAATTTAGGCAGTTTCTCCAAGGGAGAATTTCCTATTAAATTATGAAATATTCTTCGGTCTCTTCTGGGCTATAGTTTGTTTCAGCACCATCTCCAAGCAACAGATGGAACATCTGGTTAATGAAAAGTCAAAAAATGTCGAATTTCTAGGTAGGTGAGTGCTTACACAATAATTAGCTGAACACAGCAGCTTCTGCTACACTGTCCATGCCATGAATCATTGTCCCAGAATGCCACCCATTATCCTCACTAAAACTGTCTCCTGTATCCTGGGTAGCTTGATGAGAATTGTTTGTCATTTTCAATAAAGTTTTTCCTTAAGAGAGTATATTCCTTGGGTACCTGGACTCTTCGGAGGTTTGGGTTCCATTATGGCTGTCTGTTCTCCTCTGTCGAAAGGAAGAGTTAAATAAATGTCGGTTAGTCCTCAAACAACAGCGTGCTTCACTGATTAACCACCCAAACATCCAGTGTCAGGATGGTGCCCAGGAATGCTGCTGAGATGGGTTATCAGCCCCCCACTTTCCATTCTGTTCCCAAGGCTGATACTAGCCACAGTTACAAGGATATATTCAAGCTGCTTGTGCTCACCAAGTGGACAGGTCTGTGGAGGGGTTGCTAGCATGACTGAAGGGACCACGTTCCCTGGGCCTTCTCTGCTCCTGCTCCATAAGTGACTCTGACCACAAAGTCCATGGGGGAAGGAGCACGGAGGAGAAGAGACAAGAACAGGGCAGAGGGCAGGATGCTATGGACCAAATGCAGCTGAGAAAGCATTTCTAGCCAAGAGGAAGCATAAGATAAGTGCTTCTCCATGCCAGGAACTTGCTTTCTCCAGGGGAAAACCGAAGAGCAGGGACCCTGTTCTTCAACTGCCACAGGTGTCTGCCTGACTCTGGGGACTGAGGTCCACGTGGTGAAACTGACTCTGAGAGGTGGAGCCCTGTCCTGGGCAGCTATGCTGGTGATCCCTTGACCAACGTGGGGCCGTGAGAGAAGGGGGATCCTACAGGGTAAAGGGCCTCAGGGCAGGTGAGATCTTCGAAACTAGGAATGTGTCGGTGATCAATTCTTACCTTGAATTAGTAAGACTTTCAAAACAGAAGAAAGCATTGAGTACTTCAGTGCCCGGGCAGTGCCGGTAAAATGGGAGGGAGGCAAAGGGCCCTTGATACATACTTTGCGTATTATATATAATAACATATAACACTCAAATATGTGTTAACTGACTTTTTATGTTATCAGTAAGGCTTTTGGTTAATAGTAGGCTATTTGTGGTTAAGTTTTGGGGAGTCAAAAGTTATATGTGGATTTTTAACTGCATGGGGGGTCATCACCTCTAACCCCCATGTTGTTCAAGATTCAAGTGTGTATGTATATAAATACTGGATTTCATACATAATATATTTCATATTATATATATTAAAACCAGTATATGTATACATATGTGAAATCCATTATATATATGAAACCTATTATATAAATTTTGCTCACGTAAGCAAAATAAGCCTAAGCTTATGTTATATAAACAAAATTATACACTAAATATGAAATCTCATTCAATTTCATACGTGTTTTATATATAAAACATATAGATTTCACATATATTTTTATATATAATACTATAAAGCTTATACTAGTTTTATAATGGTACAATACCCATTTTACAGATAGAGAAACTGTTAGAGATAGAGAGACTAAGATAGAGACTACAGATAGAGAGACTAAGCAATTTGCCTTTGATCTCATAATTAAAAAGAAACAGACCCAGAATTCTAACTTGAGAGTTGCTGTCTGAACCACTTTGCTTCTCTTTCTATTTAAAAAAGGAGAATTGGGGCATCTGGGTGGCTCAGTTGGCTGAGCGTCCAACTCTTGATTTCAGCTCAGGCCATGATCCCAGGGTGGTGAGATCAAGCTCTGTGTCGGGCACGGAGCCTGCTTGAGATTCTCTCTCTCTCCCTCTGCCCCTTCCCCCTGCTTGTGCTCTCTCTCTCTCTCTCAAGTAAAATAAAATAAAATAAAATAAAATAAAATAAAATAATTAAACCTTTTTGTAGTTCTGCTTGCATTTCTTGTCATTACCCCAGAACAAAAAAGCCTTTCAGATTTATCTCTTTGATCCCATTCAAGAGAATCTACACCCACTATCATTGTCTATAACCTGTTCATTTTAATGTCACTTGAGATTTGATGAGTGTGATATCAAGAGGTCCTATTTCCTTCTGACTATACAATCCAAGAAAGTTATGAACCAAGAGCCCATAACAGCAGTTTTGCTCAGTTAATATTTCAGATTACCAGAAGCCTTGAGAACCTAAAACATTCAAACCAAGCAGTACTTACAGGCAGCCAGCCGGTCGCTGATCAGTTCTCAGCAAAGTACCCTGTCCCTGGGTCTCCTGTTCACTCTGAGCTCTGAGTGGCAAGGTGAAAATTAAATACAAGCTGCTTGAAATGTGAACCAACAGGAAGTTCCTAAACTATCTTAGGACAGATTTTACTCTTGCCCGAAGCTAAAATGGAAGCTATTGTCCGAGGGGAAGTCCTGGGCTTTCAGGCTTTTTGTGGCTTGGCACAGAACTGCCCTTGGCATTCCAGCTGTCTAGCATCAAAAAATAAAAGCAAACAAAGAAAAAAAATTCCCACTAGCCGTTGTCTTTAGTCACAATGATTCTTATTGAGAACAGCCTCAGCCTTGCCTTGACCTCCTGCAGTCATTACTACTGAAAAAATCCTTTTGCTTCCCACCAATCCGTTTCCTCCCAACGCCCTCCTGGGGAAAGTAGGAAGGATTCCTTTGTGCCAGATGAGAAACGAAAGCCTGCCTTCTCCAGCACAGTTGCACACACCAACAATCTCCAGGATGATCTGCTTCTTCATCTATAAGAGAGTTGTCATCAACAGGGTGGAACTAGACAGGCTGTCTTGTACAGCCACCCAATAAGTCTTAAAAATAAGAGTTTTACTCACAAGAGGGAATGGCAGTCAAGCCTTGTTGAAATCCTCTCTTCCTTTTGCTTCCAAATTACTCTTCCCATTTGGTTCCCTTCTGCCCTCATCTATTAGCTTTGTCTCTTTGTTTGTTTCTCTACCTGCACGCAGTCCATTCATTTCAGAATTCCCAGAGCACCTTCCATGGATATTTCCCCACTCTACAAGTATTTCTTGATGCTGGGAGAGTTGAGAGCCTCTTGAGATGGGTGATCTTGAATTTGCCAAGAGACCTGTCTGACGGATGTATGGTTTTCTCTAGTAATAGCATTTGGCTATTCAGGAGAAGAATGGGGGAGTTGGGGAGTAAGCTTTGTTTCAAGTTAATGCTTTTTTTTTTTTTTTTTTTTTTTTTTTTTTTTATGCCAGGGAGATATCACAGATAGATGAAGGAGCAAAGGAGCAAAGGAAGTTAAGATATTTGTGAAAGACTGCCCCAAATGATGAACCATGGTATCAGAGGGACATACAGAGGAAAGAGACTAGAAGGGGACTCCTAGGGAGGAAGCACTGATGAACTTGAAGAAAGATGGAACCAGTTGGCTGGAAAGGTAGGAGGTGCTGCTTGGAGACAGAATGATTGACTGATTATCTTAAAAATAGAGCAGTTGCAGGGAGTGGGTGGCTTTGTGATAGTGTAGACAAAAGATCATTGGTAATGAGGAAGGCAAGGAACTGAGAGGCAAGGGTGTTTGGTCATCCCCATGGACATTCAGTTTATCCTTTTGGAAACTCTCTAAAGATTTTTGAAATATGAGAAACAGAATAAACGTAATCATCTCCACTCATCTCTCCCAACATATATACACAACAGTGTCGATTTTTATACTTGGATTCATTTGTAAAAGCAATAGCAGACATAGATGTCAAAGGAGGACCCTGGAATCCATAGAAGATTGTAGTCAGAATCCTCTTTATTTCAAAAGAATATTTAGGTCCAGTTTCTGGGGACTAGGGGATCTACAATAGGTGATAGAGAATGGCCCAAAGATTGTAGGTGAAGGAGACAGCTAATAAGACCACCACTAGGGCCAGAGGAGGGAAGATGGGGGTTTCTTTTTCCTTCCTTTCCTTTCCCCTTATTGCCCTGAATCCTTATACTACGCACCTGGTTGGCACTGGAGCAATAGGATCAGGGTTGGTAGGGAAAGAGTGGCAATGTAGTTCATAATAGGAAGAGAGAGAGACAAGCAAAGTAGGAAGGAGACCCCCAAAGGTGGGCACACCCCATAGAGCTTCTTTCCCAAAGCCCATCTCAGCATAGGGTGTGATGCAAATCCCAGCACCCAGTGTTTCCTAGATCCCCCCGCTGGTCAGCAATGGGGCTTCCCTGCTTCTCAGTTTATTGGTACTTCAATTTCATTTCTTAAAAAAGTTTCTTTCTATGTGTACTCATTTTCGAGAGAGAGAGAGAGAGGGAGAGTGAGAGCAGGGGAGGGGCAGAGAGAGAGGGAGACACAGAATCTGAAGCAGGTTCCAGGCTCTGAGTGGGGCTCAAACTCATGAACCATAACACCATGATCTGAGCCAAAGCTGGACACTTAACCAACTGAGCCACCCAGGTGCCCCTGTACTTCAATTTCTATTGTAATAGAAGTAACTCTCTTTAATTTCTGGGCCTGGAGAGGAAAAAGCATGATCCATATGGATTTTGAATACATCATGAATTTGAAAAATCAGGCAAAAACTCCTAACATCAGAATTTAGCATTATTTCATCCTTCTGCCTTTTGTCCTGGGAGGTGTGTGTGTGTGTGTGTGTGTGTGTGTGTGTGTGTGTGTGTTTAAATGCTTTTATTGCTTTCACTTCCTGTTTAAGCTGAAAGCAGTTAATAAGAAAGAATGCTTTGTTTCAGCATTTATTGGTACCAGTTGGATAGCAAGCACTCCTGGGGATAAAAGAATTAAAAACAGACTTTGTTCTTAGTGACCTTATAAGCTAATATGGGAGATAAGTGACATAAGGAAACAGGCAGAGTGCTAGTCAGTCCTATCAGGAAAGAGCACACTCCAAGGATTTATGGAAGAGAGTTATTGAAGGGATGGTCTACAGAGGTGTTGACTGCATTAAGAGACCCAGCAAGGCATGATGAAGCATTCATTGTCTAGCAATAGTGGGAAACCTTTACCACCTCCAGGTCTGCGGGGATAAGAAGAGAGGGGGCAGTGTTTCCAGATTCTGATAAGAGTAGTAGCTGTGGGTCAGGTGCCATGACATGGGAGCAGTGGTTGTAGGAAGGGGAACGTGGCCACTGTCAAAACCACGGCCCTCGTGGAGAGAGCAGAGGTGGGTGGGGGTGGGGTAGGATGGGGGAGATGCCAGCAAAAGAGAGTAGAAAAGAACAGAGAAGTACATGACAACACAAAACCATGTGGT